GTTCACTGGCACAAAGAATCGGAAGCATTCCTTTCACTCCGCGTTTTAGTCGCGTCGAGAAATCTCGTTAGACGTTTCAAAGAAACGTCACGAGGGTGAAGAGCATGATTATGGTTACTGTTATGGTTATGGTTATGATCACCGAGCTAGCGGCAAGAATGGATCTTGGTTTTGAACTTACCAAGGAAAGTGCTGCAGATGTATTCTGATATCTGGTTGCCAGATTTCGAGGACTCTGAGAAGTGGGACAGCTCCTTGTTCAGCATTCGCTTGAACTGTAATCAGAAAAACGCGTGATATTCAGAATAATCGTTGCAATTGTCGAAATTTAAATATATAAATTTAATATAAAATATCATGGAAATATAAATTAATATATATAGTATGTATATTACATCGTAAATATATTTTTTCTTTTTCTTTTAAGAATTATATTTTCTTTTATTAATTCCGGATAATTTTCAAGAAACTTAACATTGAAGAGATGCTTCGTTAATTGTTGCGACATTAACATTGATCTCCTACGATCTTTCATATCTTTAAAGATCTTTATGTAACGTCCTCCCACGTTCATATTTCTCTCGCAATTTCTGCTCATTCACGAAGAAAAGAATGGCAGGAATCTCCACTTGAAACGAGTCGAACAAACGCAACGGCGGAGATGACGATCAACGAGGGAAAAATTAATCAAACGTGCAAACGAAACGACGAACTCGAGATTCTCGATGCCAATTTGCCTGGAAACCATCGTCAGCTTATCTCGCGAAATTTACAATATTTGCCTACGAAACTTCAACGTCAAAGATAAAAAAACGTGATATCGTGTGAGAACGAAGGAAAATCTGAATCGCCGTCGTTGCTTCCTTATCAGCTCGTCTTTCGCAACTCGCGAGACGATCTCTCTTCTCATCCGTTCCGAGATTACCGGAATAGGCGAGTGTGTCACGTGGCGAGGAATCGAATCCACTGTTTTTCACAGACAGAGTTCCTCATTGTCAGTCAGACTCGGCAGGATTCGTACGATTCTGTTTGCCGAGTTTACCAGCTGTCGCGCGATAACGTGATCGCGTGAATGAGATCGAGAAAACACAACGACATCCGGATATTATGAGATGTTCGAGGGTTTTCAGAGGGATGTTTTCAGATAGTTTCAAAGGAAATTTATAATAGTGATTGAAAATAGTGATTCGAGATCAGGGGTTAGAGGTTGTTAGCAATGTTAATTGATCTTGGTATATTAATTTTAGTTTAATTTCGTGTATTGCTGTATCCTTTATCTCTTCCCTTTTATTATTGTATCTTAAAAGGATTATTTGCCTTTCTATCTGTAAGGCAAATGAAATAAAACAGAAAGTATTTGAACTTTGATTTCAATTTTAGTTCAATTCTTATTCGTGCATTTCTATCCTTTTGTGCTCTTTTCCCCATCTTGAATTGTACCTTAGAGGATAAATAAATAAATAAAATAAAATAAAAAGAGATAGCATATAACAGACTAATTAACTGCTAATAATGATAATAATCTAGAGAAATATTAACAGCTGTTCGATCTCACACAGGCAATATCCATAAATTACATAACGCGTGCAAGTAATTGCAACATTTTGTTAAATGTCGATGGGATGACCGATAAGATTATCGATTAATCTCGCGTGGATAATTCGCTGGACATCGTGTGTTGGATGAACGATAAACCGTGATTGCCCGATAAAGTCCATAATCGAGTTCATCGATTTGCGATATCCGTCGACGAACTAGTACGTCGTTGATACACAACAAGTGTATTATCAAGTAAATTCTTTCTTCTTTCTTTTTCTCGCGTTGTTATTTATTTCGCGAGTGTGCCCACAGATCGATCGTCGTTTCGTTTGTT